AGAGAGAGAGAGAGAGAGAGAGAGAGAGAGAGAGAGAGAGAGATCTTCTTCTTCCTCTTCTAAGTTCACTATCTCTCCCTCACCCTCTTGCTACCTGACTTCTCAGTATCTGCAGACTACAAGAGAGAGAGAGAGATTGGTGACTTTGGGACTTGACGACATTTGGATCCGGACTCGACATTGGGATTGAGACATTTGACAAGGGACTATTTGGGACCTGTGCCGAAGACTTGGTGTTGACGACATTCCCATCTCCCCTCTTCTTCATCTGATCCCCTCGTCTTTGTCTGTGTATGGTCTGGACCTGGCGCATTCGTCCTGTGTGTAGCGCCGGGCCCTTCACACCTTGCAATGATGATGATGTATGTTGGGTCTACATTGCAACATTGATTGGGTTGATCATTGGTATTTTAGCCTTCCGCTGCGCTATCTTGTACTATGTGAGAGAGGTCGGTTCTTGTTCTGGTCTGCACCTTTACGGTAGGCGACACTCCCACTAGCCCCTAAGTTGACCTACTAGTAACTTACGCCCTCTACTCTCCCACCACAGTCCTAGCTGTGTATATTAAGGCGGGTTGTTTCCTTCCCTGCCCGCGATTACTGAGGGCAATGTTGCAGGCTCTCAGCTTTTGTTCACTTGCTTGCACTAGGCAGCCATTCCTGAAATAGCTCATCACACCGGATAGAATAATAAATCAATATATGAAAATCATGGCGACGCCAGACCCGAACCCGGACCTGATCCCGGACCCAGGTATCTCTGGCCATCTGACCGGATGACTGTTGGGACCCATCCGGACGTCCGGACCCCTGGACATTCCCAGACATCCGGACATATTGGGGTCCAGAGAGTCCGGATTGTCTGGAACGTATGGAGATGGCCTGATTGCCAAAAAAAAAAAAAAAAAGAGGAAAAAAATAGTGAAGTACACTTAGGCCTGGACCCCACAGGAAAAGTTTGGGAAAAGTGACAAGTTTCGGGTTTCCGTGGAAGGGTGTTTGGAAGAGTTTGCCGGTGGAATAACGGGACCCCACCGGAGTGGCTGGAAAAGCCAGTTTCCACGAGCTTGGAAATGCTGGAAACTGGAGATGGACTGGATGGTGGTCGTTGATGAGTCTATCCACACAAGCACGACTAATTAAGTTTCGTGTAGAGCCTATGTCTGCGAAGGCGCCCACTTTGTGGCCACCTACATCAGCCTCTACCACGAAATGTTCACCTTTAAGACCTCTACTAATCATCGCCAAAGAGTCTCTGGGGTCCTTCCCTGATCGCTCAACTTCTAACTCTTCTAAGGACTCAGACACATCTCTCGAACAGAGCATCGATTGGTCTACATGTGTATGCGGGGCGACTAGTGGGTCAATAGCCTTGGCCAACGCCTGAAGTGGGGAAGGCAACATTACCACTTCAACGTGAGTAAGAGCGGCTAAAACTCGTACTGGCCCGAGGTGTTTCCTTGCAAAGTGCTCGCAGAATGACCACCAGAGTTCGAAGATAAGCCCACTATCGTAGGAGAGGCTACCTTCGTCATGACTTTCTTGCTTCGACAAGTTATGGACGTATGGCCATATTTGCCACAGTTCAGACAAGTACCCCTAGCAACTTTGTCCTTCCACACCTCGTAGTCTAAAGCAAGTCGCACCCAAACTGGTGTGCCTTGGTCGCCTTGACCCTTAGACCGGCCTACCTTCTGTTTCTCGGTCCCCTTACCCTTTTCTTTGATAGGTGCCATGACTCCCCCATCTGAAGTCTCCTTAGCCCCATCCTGCTTTGTGTCTTCCCCAAATGCAGCGAAGTCATCAATCTCTGTTGCCTGACCATCATGGTCAACAAACATGAGATTGCCTTTCTTCCTCCAGTCTTGGGATCTTCCTACCATCTACTGGGCCTTGTTGTGCGGTCCAAGTTATGTACATCGATGGTGGCCTCCTCCACCAACTTATTTTTGACATGTGTGGTAGACATCGCAAATAAGTTGTGAGGAGTACTTGCGGATCATAGCGCACTTCTGGCACAACAATCAGACATTTTACGGCGTCTATTACCTCGCAAACAGTCCGGTACCTATTTGAACCTAGACTAGCTAGCAAGTCGGTGGCCTTCTGATCCCCTTGGGGATCAGGCCACCTTTTGTAGACCAACCGTACGAACTCTTCTAATGTTCGGGCCTGTGCCCAGACATCGAAGTTCTGGTCGTAGTCCTGCTGCTCCACTAGACTGTTTAACCATCTAGCTGCAGAGCCTTCCAAAAAGGATGCAGCGACTATAACTTCCTCATTTGGTCTTGAGAGCTTGTGCCTCACATAAATAGGCATAAGTGTCCAGGTCCTCTTCCTTCTTCTTGCTGTCAAAGAAGGGTTTAGGACTCAACAAGGAGATCATGGGCATCCACTGCATGGGTTGGATTGCCCTAGGTGTTTGCTGCATTGGCTGCGTAACCAATGGGGCAGATAGCTGCATGCTAACCTGAGGGTGCCCCGACGGTTGAACTGTAGCCGCAGCCGTCATGGATGGAAGGGGAGAAGGTCTAAGAACCTGACCACCACCTACTACTACACCACTCAAGAGGGGTACGCCATACATAGGAGAGAAGAGGGCCCTGCCGACGACACCGTCACCGAGGGACCCGTTGTCTCATCATGGGACGAGGAGCCTGCAGTGCAGCCAGAGTACGATTCTGGCCAGCCGGTAGTTCCTGCTGAACAACCTACATTTCTGCTACGCAGAGAAGCGAGCGACGCAGCGACTGAACTGCAGGATCCAGTGTTGACTCATGCAGGGCTTCCAATGCTCCTAACTCGTTCCTCCTTGCTCCTAGTCTAGCCTTTCTCGTCTTAGTCCTCTATCTTCTCTCTTCTACTTCCTCAATTGCTGCTGTAATTCATCATGGAGAGCATCCGTTTGGAGGATCTCATAATCCTCTGGCGTGAGTTGAGGCTGCTGGCTAACTTGCAACCCAACAGACTGACTAATGGATGACCCTGACGAATCCGCGCCTGGACCTGACGAACTGGCCTATCCCGAGCTATGAGTCATTGCTGACGCAGAAGACATTGCGACCGAAACTGAGGGTCCTGTTCCTAACGCGCTAGTTGCGTCTAGGAACCTTTGTGCCCTGGCCGCCGCTTTCCTCGCCCTCCGCAACAACTCCCTCTCTCTGACCTCAATCCGCTCGTCTCCCGGTGTTAACTCCAGAAATGTGAGTGGATGACTGAGTGCAGTTCTGCGAGTAACTCTAAGGTTCTCCGCTAATCGTTCCTCTTCCTCACTGCTTTCTTCTTCACTCATGAGCTACAGTGACGTGTGATCTAAACTAGAATCCACATTGAATCCTACCTTAGCATGACACTCAGCCGAGTAGGAATAAACAATTATTTTCGGTCAGCTTTGTAGAGAAAGAGTCAAGCAGTAAACAGCAACCAATGTCAGATCCTAAAAGGTAACTCTATTTCTATTTTTAGACTATTCTGAAACAGAATGAAATGCAGCAAGGAATGCACTATTCTATCTGCATCCGTCTGTCAGTTCCTAAACAAGTCCGTAACAACTAAATAATCAAAAATAAAAATAAGTCACCCATGGAGATGCATGCTGGATGGCAAATAATCTACTTAATTCAGCGGCGGACAGTTTGCCAGAATCTTCCCTCCCCCTTTTATCCTTCTTGAGTAGTCCCTTGTGTCGACGTCCTGAGCATCTGGTTGAGCAGCGTGTCTAAAGGTGTGCAATCCACCCCACCCCTGTGCCCCAAGTCTATGCTAAGCCTGCCAGTCCTGCAACTTGTTTATCCTCGCATGCAACGAGCCCTACATCCGATTGATCTGGCTGATCAAGAGGCAGTTTAAGGACAGCCCCCAAGGTCCTCAGGAATTATTTAACGTCGCAGACAGGACGACGATCACAGCCAGGTTTATAGACAGTCTGGTATGCGTCTCATATAGGACTGGCCTGCCCGACACGACCTCCACCAGCGCAGCCAGCAGAACCAAGGACTTGCGGCAAAGCATGTGTGTACTAGTCCCAGCGGGCTGGCATGGTGACCGTGACCCGAGTGCTTCGTCCAGGGCCCTTCAGAGGCTTCGCCCGTCTCCCACCAGCTTGCTGCCCAGGAAGAATGTGGACTCTCAAGGTTGAACGCTGGCAACACCTCACTTCGAGAGGACTCTCAACACAGAACTCACTTCCTCAAGGTAAGAAGTAATGAAGAGGGTAGATAAGGATGAGAGCAATGTACCTCATAATGCTGCCCCCAACCACAGAGTTCTCACCAGCAACCTGATGGCATTTATGATGACCGGTCTTTGCCTCGGCACAACAAACAGCTGAATGCAGTTCCACCTGGGCTTAAATGCCACATCAGCGAGTTCTCATCATCCAGCGTACACCCCAATGTCACCACATAGCCTTCCTGGCGTGCCCACACGACCCTGGGCCGCCTTCTGTTCCTCGCCCCAGCCTTGTCACTTCCCCACCACAACCAGCGAAGCACCAAACAGCTATTGCGAAGAACCAGCAAGTGTAGTTCGAACCAGCTCCGATACCAAATTGCTAGGAATATTGAGCGATAAGCGAAATGACAGAATTCAAAAGTCACACCGTAGCCAGATATTCACAAACTGTCCAGAAGTAGAAATGTACCAATGACAACTCAATCAGGGAACCGAAAGCATCAAACTCAATTGTCAAGACTACGATCACACAGCTCTTATCTAGCCTACACTAAAGTGACGAACAACTGATGACGTCAGCAGCCTTGAACCAAGTACAAGCAGATGTCGCACAAGTAGATCATCGCCAGAACCAGGTAAGTGCCCTCACATCATCTTCTCCACCTCTGCTCTCTCTCTCCTCTCTCCCTTGTCTCTCACCCACGTCTTCTCCCTCATGCACGAAGACCATCACCACACCTTGCTGTACAACCAAGATCGGCCGGCTATGGAGGCCGAGCTACTGCGCTGCCCTCAGCAGCACCCTGCTCTCATGACTGCACGTGCACGAACACCTTGCCTTAGCGCAGATCACAGCACGCAAACGCAGGCTCAAGCAGCGCTGCCGCACAAACTGGCAAGTCTACTTTCCTATATGGGAAGTGCCTGGCCTGGTCTGCTGCCTGTCTGGGCCGGTAGGCCTTACTGCCCTGGGGCCCGTTTGGTTACGGCCCCCAACTGCCTGTCGTGCATCGTGCGTTGTGTGCGGCCCAGGGCCTGTTTCCACGCACTTCCAAGAATGGCCTAGAAGGCCGAAACAATTTGCTGCTGACGGCGGCCTGGGTTCCCTCAACCAACTGATGCTACGCAACTGTCTGAACCCCAAATGTGAAATTGGCAACAATGGGCCTCTCGTATTTTTATCAGGCCCGCCTTCACTTAGGGCAGGCTTATATTGCAAAATGGGCCCCTTACACCTGCTGGGGAGCCGATTCCTCGCAATAATGTACCGTACTCAGGAAAAAAAACAAGCAAACAGAGAGAACACAGTTCAACACACGGCAACACAGTGCCACACACAAACACACACTCTCTCTCTCTCTCTCTCTCTCTCTCTCTCTCTCTCTCTCTCTCTCTTCTCTCTCTCTCACACACACACACACACACAGGCTGTGAATGCACACGGGGATGTGGGCAGCTGCCGCTCAACCACAATCAACGTGGGCAGCCTTGTGCGTAAGAGGCACAGTAAAAGGGGAGCTGCAAGAACAATGAAAGGGGTACCCCAAGGACAACCAAAAAACTGTCTAATTATAAAATTGCTTTAATATGTTGGACATCTCAAATCCGCTCGTTGTCTGCAATAGGACAAAGACACCTGGGTGGAATTGGGGCTGTTGTGGGGAAAATCTAAAACACACACACACACACACACACACACACACACACACACACACACACACACACACACACACACACACACACAGAGTACACTCTTTTTGTGGCTGGATATGTCTCGTCGGTTTTGTTGATTTTACACGGCCTAATTCTTTGCCCTGCTTTAGAGCATGGGCTGTTTGGATGTTTACGGGCGGGGTCTTCTTCGACTTCTTTCGGTGTTGGGGAAGACAAGGAGACTGAAGATGACCTGGTGGGAGAAAGATGACGAGTAGGGGGATAGTTGGCAAGGAGGTCTCTCTCGCTCGCTTGCTCTCTCTCTGTATGTGATGATCCGAGAGATAACATCGCAGTGCCGCGCATGTCGTCAAGTCCTACCATGCTGCTTGTTTATTTGTTTCCTTTGTTTGTTTTTCTTGCCGCCTGCTATGTTATTTTTTGCTACGTTTTTCTTTCAGCACTTTTCATTTTGGTTTCCGTTGCATGTGCTTTCACATGTGAAGATTGACCTTTCTATAGACCTGGTAGGCCCACTTTGTGATTCTTGGGGCCTAGCATTACTGTTCTTGCGTTGCAGGCTGGTATTCGTATGCGCAAATGCAGTGGAGTGTGATTTAAAAGGAATTGGCAGCAAAATATGGAAAGGATTCACTTCTGTAAAAGGCCGTAAAAGCATCACCGGGTCACATATCATATCGCCATCGTATCAGTTGAACCACCAGTACGTTTCCTAGCTATTCTGTTTTGATGCAGAAGTTAACACGCCGCCTCTACAGGGGTTCAGCCCACGGTCCGCCCAATCAGCACTAATTCGGGGTGTCCAATCTCGATTGAAAAGCAAGTTGTTGTTATTTATGCGGCTGTCAAAGGTTATTTAGGACCAAAAATGGCTGGTGGCACCAGCCAAAAAGAAAAACAAATGGGGGGTACCACTTGAGAAGACTGCTCTTATCACCCCCTCAAGTGACTCCCTCCTGCAAAGTTGCAACAAAAAAAAGAAAAAAAGAAAAAAGAAAAGAAACGATTTGTATTCCCGATTCGGTCTAAGTGCGAATCTGTTTCTCAAATTGTGTTTTTCTGTGCAGGATGCTGTGTGGCTAGCTCTGCAGCAGTCTCCTGAAATGAGAATTGCGGTATCCTCACAGCTCTCTCCCCCGATCCTGCCTCCAATCCCCATACACCTTTGCTGCTTGCTTCTTCCTGTTTGTATTGATATGTGGAGGGAATGAGAGAGAGAATTTGGGGCGCTGTTTTTAAAACGCACACACATAAGCGCTCCGTTCAGGCGGATTAATGTGGGTAGGGTCGGACCGTACTAGCGGTCGTGCCAGTGGATATCCCTGGCTGAGAGGATCTGTAGACTGGGTTCTATGGCTATGATAGACTAGATCAGACTTAGTGTCTTCTTGTCAGGCGTTTGGACCAACTATCTGCTAGGATGCAGGGTTAGTGCACGTAAAAGACGCGGTGAGTCCTTACCCGTCAGCCAAATGCATCCTGTGTCCTCTGATAACGTGTGATAAGTTGGTGAAAGTCCAATTGAACAGTCTGGCAAAGTCATGTTTTTTTTTGTGTTTGGTTGCCTCTAACAAACATGACAACAGGGAACCAGAGTGGCCCGGGGTCACTCGCCCAGCTGGGCCAAAAAGATTTAAAATTAAAATATATCTGGAGTGTATTTTTTGGCTGTGACAGACCTTTCTTTGTTTCGTGGGTGTTTTGCTGGCTTGTGATGGGGTGTGAACCGACAGTCTGTAGAGTTTTCCATCTGGTGTGGGTGAGTGATAGTCTACTTTGATTTTGGTTAAGGT